TTGAACTCGAGAGCTTAGCCGAGCGCGTCACTGCGCGGACAAACATACTAAAAAGGACACTACCACCCTTACGCGTGTCGCGTCAGATAAATAAGAAGAGTGAGCGTGTGAGCGTGCGAGAAGACCACACACGGGACCGGGGCTCTCTCCCAATCGTCTTTTTTCCTTTTTCGTTTAATACCATTACCACAGAGAGCTTATTATGCTACGCTTCGAACTTCGAATTTCCTTTCTTCACAATACGCGTCGTCTCCTCCATCTCCTCTTCCTGCGCGGTACGACGAAAATCGAGGAGAACAATGTCTCCTCTTCCGCGTCGACGGTCGAGAATCAACGCGAGTCGCACAACGAGAGACCGTCGTCTTCCTCCTTCGCATCGTTCTTATCGCGCGCTCAGACCCGTGCGCGCCTCGTCGATGACGATGCGCATCGCGTTGCTGCCGCTCGTTATCGACGCATGCGCCCAACGCATGCCACATTTGTGGGTATTGTGCACCTTTATCACTAGACTCTCTCCCATATCATCCCCGTCTGCCGTCTGGATACAGCCGACCGGCTGGATAGCTAGTTGCTTAGCTGAACCAGCCGCTAAGCTCGTCGCCGCGATCGCCGAATCGTGATAACGCCGCGCGCTTATTCGTACGACAACCCGTGCTCATCACGTATATACAAACAAGAGTGACGCGTGGCCGACGAGCCGCCGCGCCCGCAGCGGGACAGGTCAGCCGTCCGCCGTTCGCGACGTCGTGGCCGCCGCCGCTGCCGCCGCCGCCGTCGTCGTCGCCAGTGTCAAGGACGACGACGGCAACGGCGGATGATGAGGATGATGTACCAAGGCCGGAATTTCAATCACATCAGCTGCCGGCTGATTAGCACCGGCGGCGCTGCTGGTGATCGAGCAGGAGGTGAGGGGTTGCTATTTCTTGGTCGGTGTGCCCCGTTGCGTGAGACCTTCGAAACGCTTGAAGGTGTAGTTGATGAATACCCAGTCCTTGTATATTACTTCGCCGTCTTGGGGCATCGGCGCGGACGCTGCAATAAGACGAAAAGGGAGGGGAGCGGTTTATTAGTCGCTTGTCTTTCTTCGAGGACGAGACCAGTCCTTACCGGTGTAAGGATATCTGGATTGAGCTGTATTGTTTTTATTTAGGCGAGTTCTATATACAGTACGGTTTCGGTCGTTTTTATATCGAGGAGAAGAGGGAAGAGAAATGTATGTATCTGCGTATCGCCAATCTACTTACGTATCTCCAATTTCACGTCTGGAAATTCGTCGAAGTTGGACGTGTCGTCGATGGATCGCACCTCGACCGGTATCGCGGCCGGTCTCTCCCTGATGTGCTCCCAGTCGACGCCGCGGAAGAAAGGTGCCAACTTGAGCTCCTCGATGCCTCTTTGCGAGCCTGCGACGAGATGAGTCGTGACGATTATTATTATTATCATCATCATCATCATCATCATCATCATCACATCATCATTGTCATTATTATTAATTCTCGTTCGCATCTCGCATCGGAAGAGAGTTTGTTGAGTGAATCCAGAAATAGAGAGAGAGAGAGAGAGATAGAGAGAAACGCGAGCGGAAAGAATCTCTCACAAAGACTCACCTAATCTTCTGTCCGCTTCGCAGCAGAATCTGATAATCGCGTCCTTAGCCTCTTCGCTGATGGGCACTTCCGGCGGAAAGACCAGCGTCTCTCGCCAGTTCATTACTTTTCTATACGTCTCCTGCGGATTCTCGCTGCAGAACGGCGGATATCCTGAAACGGGAAGGAACAGGCGCGTCGATCGATTTTTTCTTCCTCGCTCGCTTTAAACGCCTCATTTCAGTATTTTTATTATCGATTCCTGGGGAATTTCCACTCGATCCGACCAAGATTCTACTTCAAGAAATTCTGATATCGAATACCGGCAGCGCACACTACGTTGTTGTTCCGATCGACATTATCTCAATCATTTTTGGTAAAAATAACAAAAGGCTCCAAAGGACTTCGAAGAACCGGGACGATTTGACCGAACGCGAGTACGTTACGTCTGTGAGAAAAACGGGAAGCCAACGGAAGGGTTTCCTACCTATGAGCATCTCGTACATGATGACTCCCAAGGACCAGCAGTCGCAAGCTGGCCCGTAGCCCGTCTGCAGGAACACTTCCGGCGCGATGTAGTCCGGAGTGCCGACCGTGCTGTACGCCAACGCTCTCCTGTTCCTCTTCCAGCTCTCGGCTCTCCTTTTGCTGTCCATCGCGCCGCCGCTCCCACTCCCGCATGATGTCACTGCGCGGAAATGAGCGAAGGTATATCGGTTAATAAAAGACATAAACGCAGCTGTCGCTGCATAAACACCTCTCTCGTTGTATCCTCCCGCTCGAGCACGGCTCGAGCGGTCACTTACTGAAATCGGAAGGCTTCGCTTGACTCAGGTCTCTGTAGAAGTCAGTCCTGTGTGATTTCTTCAGACCCGTGCACAGCCCAAAGTCAGAGAGTTTTATGTGGCCCCGTGCGTCCAGCAACAGGTTGTCCGGCTTGATGTCTCTGAAGAGCACCGTCGAATTATAATTCCGAGCCGTGACAAGTCGAAAGTGTCACTTGTCAAACGCGCGAAACGTCGAGGAACGACGGGGAGCGCGAGACTCGAGGAATAAAGCGACACTTAGCCTCGGGGTGCACCGTGAAAGAAGTTAAATCGAAGCGGCTCGCGGATCGAGTTGAACGAGCTTCTTCTCACGAGCGAACATGCCGAAGCAACCGTTCCGATTCTTTCAGCAAATACTCCCCGTTCCTTTAAATCCCTCGTTTGAGCGAAACAGTTTCGAAATTTCATCCGACGAGACGGTCGCCACGAGACGACGCAACGCGGTCGTTTGATTTAGTCAGCAGCGAGATGTGCGGTGGTTTCACCAACTTTTCCATGGCCGAAAAAAAATTCATAAAACATCGCACAAACAACCGCGTGTCAAAGCTTCGTGTCAACCTTTCGTCGTCGGCACTTGGAATCTCGACGATCTCGATCAAATCGCTCGCGCCTGACCTTCACTCGACCTGTCTGGCTCATATTTTGTGCAAAAATGAAATTTACATAACCCCGAGGCACGGGGTTCTCTTCACTCGGTCTTCTTCTTTGTTCAGTGAACTTTTGCATATTTTCGGATGGCAAAGTTATTGCGGATCGTATCTGGAACGTACCTATGAATAAAACCTAACTTGTGTATGGAGTCGATCGCTAACGCCGTTTCGGAAATATAAAATTGCGTGCACTCCTCGGAAAGCGTATCCTTCTTCATGAGCAGCGTCATCATGTCACCTGCGGATCATTTACGGATTGAGCACAGAGCCGCGCGCACGCAGGAGGAGCGAGAAGCGCGCTTTCGGCGCGCGCTCATCGCGAGAGAGGATCGATCGCGCGACTTACCGCCAGGAAGAAACTCCATTATTAAATAGAGATTTATAGGATCCTGGAAACTGTAGTACATCTTCACGACCCACTGGTGGTCCGCTTCCACGAGCACGTCTCTCTCCGCCCTGACGTGCGCGACCTGCTCCTTCTCGAGCATGTCGGCCTTTCTGAGGATCTTCATCGCGTACACGTGCCCGGTGTCCTTCTTCTGCACGAGTCTCACCTGTTCATTTCGCGTGGCGCACACGGCAGAGGAAAAAGGAGTGTATTATTTCAGTGAAAATCCCTCAGTGAGGCTTCCGTCTCTCGCGAACGATTAAAACAGCCGCTCTCTCTCTCTCTCTCTCTCTCTCTCTCTCTCTCTCTCTCTCTCTCTCTCCCCCTCTCTCTCTCTCGTCTAGAGTCTCGGATTTTTTTTACACGAAGGGGATTCCACTTGCTCCGCGAAGCGAGGAAAAATGCTGCTCTTTTCCGAGAAGCAACGAGATAATTTCACTCCCGTGAACGCGCACGCGAGACCACCGCAGACGCCCGAGAAAGACAGAGAGAGACAGAGAGAGAGAGAGAGAGAGAGAGAGAGAGAGAGAGAGAGAGAGAGAGAGAGAGAGAGAGAGAGAGAGAGAGAGAGAGAGAGAGAGAGAGAGAGAGAGAGAGAGAGAAGGCCTTTCGTATATTTCTGTTATTATTGCAATTGTTACAACTACGGGCAAAACTCAATCTTCATCTCTAATGCGGTCAAATTGCGGAGCGCGCGAGAACGGCGCATACATCCTGTCTGTGTAATGCACGTTCTCGCACGTAACGAGAATACCCCCGAAATAATACTCTATCGCTCACGTATTTGTTCGCGAGATTTCTCCGCCGAGCGAAATGTATAGCGAGATGAAACTCGCGTTTCGACCGGTTCCATCGCGGAATAAGCTCCGGGAATTATTCGTTTTACCGGACCGCGCCGCGGCCGATTCCGCGCTCGAAGCAATTTTCAGCAGACGCGCCCGCCTGCACGAGGAGAAGGATTTTCCCGTGGATTTCATCCATTCTGTCGGGGCTTCAAAGCTTCGTCGCTCAAATCGCTTCTGATAAACTGATGTTTCAATCGACGAGTACGATTGTATCATCTCCCCCGCCCCCCTCCCCGTAACCCCGTACTCAACGTTGCACCGCTAATGTAACTTCGGCGGTTTGTAAGCTCTCACGCGGCTCGGTCGGTTGCAACAACGGCGGCGTTCCTCTCTGCTCTCGATCGAATAAAACACTGCTCGATCCTATGCGGCGAGACGAGCCGATGCTTCATATTCGCGCTTGCTTCAAGAATCACCTGCGAAGGGGAATCGAAATGCCAAGGAAACGCTTCTTCTCCGCGTGCAGCTTGCGCGCGCCCGACTCGCTTCGGTCGTCGCGATCCGCCATCGATCCGTCTCTTACCTCGCCAAAGGCACCTCTGCCGATGACCTTGAGAGGCTCGAAATCCTCGACGCCGAGCCTCGACCGCTTCAGCCGGAGGAACTCGGTCTCTTTCTGGGCATGCTGCAACCTCTTCTCCTGCTTCTGCTGCTCCGACAGGCCCTCGTCCTTCAAGGACTCCTCGAGCTTCGCCAGCCTCTGCTTCCGCTCGATGTGCTGCGCTATCAGGTTGCTGTAATAGTTCTCCAGCGTTACCTGCAAAGCGGCAAAACGCACACACGATGCTGCGATTATCACACGCCCGTATGATACTTCGCCGTTTCCTTCTCCTCTTCCTCCTTCTTCCTCTTATTCCTCCTCTCTTCCTGCTACGATGTCGTCGCGCGCGCGAGAGAGAGAGAGAGGGAGGGAGAGAGAGAAAGAGCTCGACGTAACGCGATCGATAACGCTTTATCTCGCGCACGACAAAACCACTTCCGGTGGCGAGAGCGCGACTGCCACGGCTGGCGATTATTATGCTCCGGCAGATCAGGTTCGCGCGAGACACTTTGAGGCCGCACGGGCGGGGAGGGGGAGGGGGACTGGTTTGTGCCTCGTCACAGGGTCGCTATGCGGACGGAAATTGCGGAGACTGCCGGATTTTCCCGACTGAAACTACTTTCCCGGCCCGCGACAGCTCGCGGATTAAAGCCCGACTACGATTATGACCAGCCGTAATTAAAGTTTTTGCCGTTGCAATTAAATTGCTCACTCTCCCGCACGGCAATCATTGTGAATACGTATACATCGCGAAAGCGAGGATTAAAGTTACAGGACCGCCACCAGTTTATTTTCCTTCCTTGCTTGCCCACTCGCAAACGAACGAGCATAATACGCAGGTGGTTGTATGGGATGGGCAACGGGGAGAGGGGGGAAGAGAGATCAAGGCGAGTGCGAACGATTGGGAACGCGAATATTAAATTATCGGTTATTACGCAACGATCTTTTCAAACGACTGCGTCCACGACACGACTGCGTGAATTATATATATGTTTCGCGGTGAAATTAAAATACGAGAGCTTCTCTACCCCGCTGATCCTCACTTGTCGGACAGACATGCAGTTACAATAGCGTTTTTGTAGCAGGTTTTGTAGCAAAGGGTAGAGAAATATCTGCGTAAAAATAATAATTGCGCGCAATGTGTACGTGATGGTAAATTCTCGGTGCTCTCAAGCAACACCGCTCGAAGTTTGAATCGGCAATGCAAGAATCGCGTTCGGCGCTTCATCTCGCGAGTGAACGTTCACGGCGTTCTCTGTGGGACCAGATGACACTTTTTGGTTCAAAATTCTCTAGGGACCCGAATTTCCAACCGATCACCGACACCAATGGATGAGGGCTTGCTTGATCCTGAATAAATTTCAAAGAGATCTGTCTAGCCGAAATTTTGAAAAAATTATCGGTTCAGGGCTTATGGGTTTAGGGTTTGTCTTAAAAGTTAAAGTACAGTGTCTTGGGGGGGGGGAGGTTCGACCTCAGTGGGCTCAAGCCTATGGATACTAAATGCGAGATCCTAGAACTTAGAATTTAAGAGTTATAGATTAAGAGTTAGATTTAAGAGTTATAGATTAAGAGTTATCGAATTCGAGATTTGGCATTCAGCATTTCTTAGGCTCGAACTTAATGTTTTATAGCTGAGTATTCAACGTCGAGTATTATTAGGTTCTCGAGCTATGGCTAGATTGGGTTGTTCTTGGAATATTTGAGGCTCTTAATATATACGGCTTCGTGCATCCACGAGCTGAAAAGTTCTCGGATTGATAGATTCTTAGGTTGATGGGCTTAAGACTCAAAATCCCTTGGTTTTGTGCTTAACGGATCTATATTTGATGTTTTTGTATCTTGGGCATATGAGTTTTGGGTTAATGGGTTTCTGGCTCAAGATCGATAAATCTCGAGGTGTCTGTTGATTGGTTTCGTAGTTTCAATCCGCTGAATATTAGATAGAAATAAGTGTCGAATAATGAGTATTTCACAAGTTTCTCGCGTTTAACGATAATTTCTCCTCTTTTGGGGCTGGTGATTCGAGAAAAAATTTTTTTTTTAATTTTGGCAAGACGAATCTCTGCGGAATTTATTCAGGATCAACCTCATCATCCATCGGTGTCGATGATCGGTTGGTAATTCAGGTCTCTAGAGAATTTTGAATCTAGAGAATGTCATCTGGCCCCATTTGTCGGCGGTGAATTATGCCGGTCAATTATGCCGAATCGCGAACCTACAGAATCACCAAACGGTCGGTCAACAGCGGTCGGTTAGTAACTTTTTATAAAAATTACGCAACACCTTACACAACGATTTATATTTCTGACGGACATTGGCAAACATGAAGGCTGAAGGAAGCGTTTTCGCAAGAAACGTTCTCGCACGTCTTCTTCAGGAACCGGTCGCTTCGACCGCTCCCTCTAGAAATAAGTCGCGCTAATCGACACGATTCCGTCATAATCACTACGTGCACGCCGCGCTGCATTCCTCTTCTGCACCACGAATCACCTGTCACTCAGGTGGTCGACGAGCGTAGCGTATCAAGCGGAGCGGTCGCGATCTTAATGAAATAATTAAGCGGGAACTAAATCCGGACCTCACCTTGGCCTTGGTTGCCTTGTCCAACGTGTGGCCGCTAAATCGGATCGTGCTCTCGGTGGCCGCCATCTCCAGCACCCCTGCAACAAGCGAAAGCGGGTCACGCTCGGTGTGCTGTATGTCGCCAGTCCCCCTCCCCCTCTTGATTAAAGACTAAAACGTCGCCGTGTCGACGCGGACGCGGTGTGTTCTCTCGACTAGTCTAGTGGACGCGCACGTCTTGCCAATGAAAATATCGCCTGGACGAATTAGAAAAGGTGAACGACACTCTCTTTCTCCGTCTCTTCATCTTGCTCTCTTTTCTCGTTACGAAACCGCCTGACAGCTCGTTAAGCGAAAGCATCCAGGAGCTGCCGGCTATTTCTGCGCCAAGATGATACCGTCGACGCGTTCTCGGTGCTCGGCTCATTTGGCATTTTCTCCCTCTCGCGCAAACTCCCGAGAGAAAAAGAAATTCGTGAAACTCGTTGCAAATTATCATTTCCGGCGTCGCCGATATCTCCCTCCCTAAAATCCCGACGAAAGTGTAGCACACAGAGAGAACGATTTAGTTGAATCTAACAAATGCTTATTTGGAATAGTCGAAATAAATTTTTTGATTGATCGAACAAAATTTTGCTTGACGCAACAAAAACATTTCGTTGGAACTAAGCTGCAGCAAAATATTTTTGTTGCGTCAAACAAAACTTCGTTCGATCAATCAAAAAATTTATTTGGACTATTTCAAATAAGCATCTGTTAAATTCAACTAAATCGTTCTCTCTGTGCAGCAGCAGCAGTAGCAAAATAAAGCAGCGCACGAGGTTGCTCTCACCGAGGCTGTGATGACGCGATACGAGCTGGAAAAAATTCAGTGAAATTAAAAATCAACCCGCCGAGAGACGAGCGAGCCCTTCACACGCGCTTCGGTTGAAGAAAATTGAATCTCCGCACCTCAGGAGTGAACGTTGCAACGTTCGTCAGCTCGAAGGAGCGCGAAGCGGCACGCGCGCGTGCACCTTCCCGCCGGAGAGGATAAATAGTTTCGACGCGAAGTTTACACACCCGCGCAGGATGACGGAGTGTCGCGAATGCGCATTATGAGCGAATTGTCCCGAGGCAATATCGCGTTTAATATTCGAAGGTCGCGCCGCGCCGCGCCGCGCCGCGCAGCGCCGCGTCGTGGAGAAAAAGTGAGGACGCGCTTGTCGTAATAGAGTGCTCAAGAGCGGTTTTTTCAACCCTTTAATGCCTACTAGTAACTATAGTTACCAGAAACGCAGATTTAAGAACCCATAACTTGGTCGAGAGAGAGAGGAGATATTTTCGTTTTCTTTGCATCTGCACTGTAAAGGTGAATTCTTCTTCTAAAAAATATATAGATTGAAAAAATATATAGTATACAGTATATTATATAGTATATTATATAGTAAAAAATATAATATAGAGTATATTATATAGTAAAAAAAATATATAAATATAAAAATATATAGAAAAAATATATAGAAAAAATATATAGTATGTAGATTCGGTTTAGTCTGTTTTTAGCTCAGTTTTAATGATAACATGTTTTGTCAAATTACAAGTAGGTATAGTTAGCATTGTTATTGACATCTAGAAGTGCACTATAAATGAATAGATTGGTAGCTGTTAGAATTTTATAAAGTTTGGAAGCTTTCTCAGATGCAAAATGTGAAATTAAAAGAATACAGAAATTCAAAATGGTGAATCCAATAATGGTGGACTCGAAAATCAAGAAATCAAGCTATTTCCGTGAAGCCTGGTGACTTGTAGTCTTTTATGCGGCGAAAAATGAAGGGATGATTGATTATCTAAACGATGATCTATAAGATATTCTTCTGAAATAGTAAGCTCTGAATCATAAACTTCACTCACAAATATAGTAAAGTTTCAGCTCAAAAATATCAAGCTATCAGAGTTAAGTAGTTGATAAGATTCTCTCATTTTTCTCTGTATAGCTTGCTCATTTCATATATGCTTTTAGGATCCAAGTCATATTTACCAATAAACAGAAAACGAACGATAAAAAAAAAACCAAACTAACGAAACCAACAGACGAAAAGCGGAAATTTCATGTACTCATTTATTATATTCCATTCCGGGTAAATAAAAAGATCAAATTCTGAATACGAGTTTTATGTTTCGAGGAATTTTTCCATCATTAGGTATGATATAAAATTATTAAAACTGAAAAAAAAAAATTTAACCTATCAGCCGTATTTTTCGCTTCTTGGAGTAGTTTCTGCTTGGAAAGATAGTTTTTTCGTAGATATAAAATTCTGATATTTTTTTTGGTTATCACTACTTATAGTCTCAGTTCAGAAAAGCTTAAATTTTATTCTTAAAACAGTTATAAAAAAGTCGGACGTTAAAGGGTTAACGAGTCTCTCTCTCTCTCTCTCTCTCTCTCTCTGTCTCTCTCCCGACTCCCCCGCGACGAGGTGGGTTCGACGGTGGGCGCAGCGACGTGCGCGGCGTGACGAGATAAGCCGATCTATTCGGAGCAATTACGAAGTCTCGCCTTGTCATTACGAGATACAGCCGACGCGGATCGAGTTCCGCGCGGGCGAGAGCGTCGCAGCGCCGAAGCTCGTTATGTCCGGCCGTTCCGTCAGTTGGCCGGAATGAGCGACTGGAATGCGTATATAAATTCGTCCGGGATATCTCGATATCTCGAGCGGGTCCCAAGTAAAGTAAGTATGGTCCCTGTTTTTTTCGAATCCTCGGCAAACTTTCAATCGTATTGACGGTCGTTGCATGAAACTTGCTTCGGGCGAGACACTCAGATTTGAATTTAGAATTGGGGGTGAGAGATATCTCCGATTGAAAGTTTCGCTTGGAATCAGCTGAATCTCGACGGCCGATTCTCAGCTGGGAAGCTGCGGCTGCTGAAAGTCTGCCGGCCGTCGCAGACGCAGCCGCGAGTTCACTGCCAGGTTGCAAAGATTGTAACACCAGAGTTCGAATAAACAACAAATTGAGTCTCGGCATTCTCAGCGACAGTCAGCTGTTTATCTTAAAGACACACTCAACTGCGCCATTGTTGCCATCCCAATCCCATGCCGCCGCTGCTAATCTGTTCTTCCGCGCGCAGTCTCGCGTTCGTCTCGCGCGGGTAATTTCGCGAAATTCTATCGCGACTTCCGAAACAGTCGCGAGATAATCGCGTGAGGATCTCACGAGTTCGCGACTGCGATGACTTGACTGAGATGAAAACGAGAGGGACTCTCTCGTTTGCCGTTTCCTCTCTCTCTCTCTCTCTCTCTCTCTCTCCCCCTCTCTCTCTGGCCGTCGGCGAAGCAGCCACCCTCCTCTGTCGAGTGCTCGAAACGAATACATTTAGCATTCCTTGCCCAGCGCGATGACAGACTCGGCGAGAGTCGTCGTCCTCGAAAGTCGTCGCGAAAGCACGACCCGTCGGTGCTTCGATCTGATGTATCGCGACGCGCATTGTTTCTACACTAACCCGGTTTCCTTTGACACTCGAGAGCAATTGAAGATTAAGTGACTCGCGACAGGTGCTCAGGCTGACCCAATTACGATTCGCGGCGAAGTATCGCGTGGCTCAAAGGGACTCTCGGATATGAGAGAGCGAAGGAGCGCGAGCGCGAGCGCGCACACACACACTCTCTCTCTCTCTCTCTCTCTCTCTCTCTCTCTCTCTCCCTGCCCACTCTTTGTTAATTATGCGGTTTACAGTCGCGCATAATGTGTGCGGATCCTGTTACGAGCTCGTGTTAAAATTTTCAGCTAACGACGCACCGCGCGCCAACCGCGGAGGCCCTCGCGGCGTTAATTCGTAATTGCGTTCGCGCAGCTGTTAACCCTAACTCGCCTATTTGCCGGACGCGCGGCTTCGAGTGACTTTACGATTTGCAGTCGCGATAAAGAGACAGGGAGCGAGAGAGGCGGACGCGTTGGTCGTCGCGCGCAAATATTTCACGTTCCCCGCTCTGGAGGATTACCGTCAGTCGCAAAGCTCGCTTCGATCTCCCTCAGTCGAGCGGAGAAGAGAGATCGTTGAATTAACGAGACGCGAATCGAATCGAATGTTTCAGTCGGACGGCGCTTCCGGCCCTCGGGATTGAATTCGCAGAGACCTCTCTCTCTCTCTCTCTCTCTCTCTCTCTCTCTCGCGTCTCTTTCCGCGATCCTCCAAGACGACACGGCGAGCAGACGTCACCCGATTCAATCGAACGGAAGCGCCGTTGCGTTGGCAGCGCGACCGATGGAGCGGCGAGTACGCTAAGTGTGTTTACCGTAACACGCAGACGATGATTCTTCTTCCTCGCGAGGGGACACTCATCTCGAGGACGTCGCGCGCGTGGTGTCATCGCGCGTGTGAATCATTATTACGCAACCGTGCGGTTGAGGTGCGCAAAATGGCACCGAATCATCAAAGGCGGGATTTGAAGATCGAGAGGCTCGCTAGAAGAATCGCGAATACGCTCGCTCTCTCTAATTCCCCCCCCTTTCTTTGACTTCATCCCCTGCTGGGCGACCTGGATGAAATTACGCGAACTTGCGATCACGGTAACAACACACCCTCACCACGGAAGAAAGATAAGAGAAGAAAAAAAAAAAGGTAATGGAAAAGAGAGAAATATCGCGCGATTCTAATGGCATGAAATTAATTGGAGCCCCGATTACGAATTACACCACTTGTCTGCAACGTGCGTTGTTACACACGCGCCCTTCGCGCGGTTTAATGGCGCAACGTTAATTGGCGTGTTAGTCTGCATACCGCACACCTATTTGTTTTAATAGCGGGATCAACGATGTTCGACAAACATTATTGATCCCGCACAACATTATCGTGAAATAATTGCCAATTAACGCGCGGTGCGGTTATGCGCGCGCGCAACGCCGGGAGATTATATGATTAATGCACCGGTGGGCGGGGGGGAGGGATGGGGGGGGGGGGGTAACGAAAACCCGCTGTAATATATCGATCGTTAATAAATTCACTTACCCTAATTTACACTAATTACGATAAAATACACACCGACGCGTTATTAAACGGGAAGCCCGTCCGCGTTTTTCCTGTAATTACCCTCGAAGCGCTTTCATTAGCGCTTCG